GGGGTTTGTAGGCCAGCTTATCTAGAGGGCGCCAGGTTGGGAGGCCCCAGATCGACTGCGGGCAAAGCCAGCCTCCAAATTTGAACCCTGCACAGAGGTTGCGTTTCACCTTCTCCTGGCTATCCAAAGTTTGGAACTCCGCTTTCCCTGTGGCTCAGCAAGGAGGGGGAAAGCGCGCCATCGCTTTATTTAGCTCAAGCATTGCTGCAAAAGCGGGGAGTGGAAAACCGACCAGCAAATTCTGTCTCTCCCTCCTTCCCCAGAGACCGACGCACGCCTGTCGGTAATTTCCCCCCCAAACTGTGAAATTGCCTATTTTAAAAAATGAATAGATTGAAGGTACTTTGTAACATGACGAGCCTGTGAAGCCCCACGCAGCTCACGCTGACACATTTTGAACAAACGAAATTAACTCTTCTGCAAAAATTCCATTCCCTGTTCCCAGAAGCACCAAACAGCGCCGGTTTTATAAATATCAGATTGTTGCGAAAAATCCTACAAGCTGATGAACCCTTCTCAAGGCTTCCCAATCACAGTCTGTAGGTGGACTTAAAAAGAGAAGATAGATTACGCTTTGAGAAGCGATGCAACGGTATCCAATTGCCGGTGGTCGGTTAATCTTTTCTCTAAGCACGAAGCGACATTACTGGGAATTTAAACAGTCTCTCACACACTTTCATGTCGGCATTACTGAATTCCTCCTCCTTTGTTGGGCCTGCTGCCAAAGGTTTTTTCAGAACAGTCGAAATCATCCTACCGTTGGCAACATGGCAGCCCACAGAACTTTGAAATAAATCACTAAATACGTCAAAAGTTGGTTCACATTCCAACGTGCTTTTCACACACATGTTTATAGGTATATGTGTGTATGTTTCATGTTAAGCGTGTTTATCTGGACTGCTATTTTAAGCTGCTACTTCTACAGGCTTTCCGTATTTACCTGCATATAGTTTTCACTTGGAGTTGTTGTGAACTGCCTTTGCTCTGAGAGGCATAGACTAAAAATAATATACGCACACCTTCAGATAAGCCTGTCTGGGGCTGCCCTTGAAGGTTGTTCCTTATGCAGAATGCGGCAGCTGGATTAATACTTGGACCAGAAGGTCCCAGCACAACTCTGGTCCAGGTTTCCAAAGTGTTGGTTTATAATGTCTTACATAGCTTGGGACCACCAATACTGAGGGGCACATCCTCTGATCTGAACCTGCCTGGATAATACCCGAGACCTTCCTCTGAAGGGGCTCAGAGTGCAGCAGGGGGCCTCGTCAGTGATGGCCCCCGATTCAGGAATGGTCTCCCTACTAAGGCCCACCTGGTGCCAACACTGTCCTTTTCCCCCCTTTTTTTGGCAGTGGCAGGTGAAGACTGCCTTTGTCTACCAGGGATTGGATGAGTCATTTATGTCTGCTGTCTTTATTACTAGGTTTAGTATTGTTTTTAGCTCTTTCAGTAGTTTTAAATTTTGTGCGTTGAAACTCTCTGCTATATTTTACAACCTCGCATTTTGTTTTTGTGAATTATGGTGAGTTAACTAGAGCGCTTCACCATTTATGTGGTAGAGAAATGAGATAAATATATGGATAATAACATCCTGCATCAGCTCTTCCCAACCTGGCTGGGCAGTACTGGAACTTACAGTCTCTGGAAAAGTGCAGGTTGGGAAACCTAGTATTATAAATGAAGGTGGTGGGGGGGGGTGTCTCTGCAGCTGGCCAGATGACCTGGAATTACAGCTCCCAACACCCCCAAATACTGGCCACACTGGAGGCAGAGGCCCCAGGCTTCTCTAGATGACCTTTCTGCCCCACCCATGCACTAGAGCGTGTTCAATGAGAGCTCCCATTGTCTGTGGATGATGGGAGTTGGATTCCAACACTATGGTGAATGTGGCCACCGGGTTTTCCACCCTGGCATGCTCACATATGCACATGGGATTAAACACCTTGTCCAGTGAATTGTGCGACCCCTTTTGGGTTACCTCCCATACTAGCTGTAGCCCCAGCCCCAGCCCTAGCCCCACTCTTGAGGGATGGCCTTGGAAGAAGCCCACCTCTTCAACCACTCCTCTCTCACACAGGATGCAACTCCTCTGCTCAGGTATCAATTGCGATGCACAGGTTGCACAAACGTTTAGACTGGAATATAGATCTTTCCACAATCTTACTAATTCCTCAGCAAATTAGGTGCCTGCTCTATCTGCACCTCCTCGCCATCGAACAAACCACTGTGATGCCAAAGGACCGAATAAAGACTGAGCCTTCACCACCTCCACCAACTCATACCCTGCCTTTTCGCCCTGCAGGGGACCCAAGGCAGCTCTCCCCCCCACCAGCCCCGCTCTGCCACACTGGTGCACCCCACAGCCCCAGAGGGAGTGAGAGAAATCTAAGGAGCACGGAGATGAGCATTAATAATTCTGGTTGCTTGGAACTGCCTCTAGGAGCAAGTCAGAAATGGGTTTTCCAAACTACATCCCATCTCAGTGGTGATTTCCCCTAAAGCAAGATGTGCTGCTCTCATTTAAAGCCACACAAACTGAAGAGACACCTTGGGAGCACACAGATTTTGCGGGTCGGGATCCAAAGGACCACAGGTCTGCGGCATGAATGCTGACGCCACCGTGAACCTTCCATGGCACCACCGTGTCTGCGGCTGATGGATAATGCAGTCTGGGGGGCAGCTCACACCTGCACTTCCAGGTGCACACGGGAGAGGTGCGTGTGCCACCCCCTCCCCACGTGCCTCCTATAGTTTTGTTCCCTGGAACTGAAACACAGGCCCGAGTCGCAGCGGCACGCTTAATCTGCAGGGGCAGAACAAGGCAGCAAACGCTCTGGTCAGAAATGTGCATATACGTGTGGAAGGGGGGGATCTTTCCAGGGCTCTGTTTCCTGGGGGCTCTGCATCTCCTTTTATTTGTACAAAGAGATGCAGAGGTGCTTGATTTCAGGAGGAGAAAAAGCTCAAGCAGAAAAATTCAAGGGGGGGGCACCCGGAGGGGAAGCACACAGGGGCAAGAAGGTAGAAATCCCAGGAGGTCAGATGCCAACTCCAAGCGGGTGGGGGGGGGCATTTCTTCATTTCAGCAAGTGCCCCTGGAGAGCAGAGTGCTCAGGCAGGGGGGCTTCCCAGGGATGTGGGCTCCAAAAGAAAGGTGTGGGGGCCCGGCCCCAGCAGGCCACCTCGAAATACTGCCCCTGGCAACATGCAAAACGGGATTTTACCCATAACTTAAAGAGTTGTGCTCTGCATTTAGAAAGAGTTGCCATTCATTAAAAAACAAAACCAAACAAAGGCAACTTGAGAAAAAATTCTATGTGGCTGACTTTGCAAAAGAGGCCAAGATTCCAGTGAAGCTGGGGGAAGGATTGCCGGGTGGGTGTGGGGATTTTAAAAAACAGTTTGGGGGCGATAAAGATGGCTACGTACGTGGCACCCAATTTCACCCAGACTGATTTCTTGCCCTGAACAACCCCCCAATCGCCTCCCCCATCTGCTCCGCTTTGCAGAACTAAACATAGAGTTGCAATGATATTTTGAGACGGTCTTTTGCTTTCCACACAAGCCAATGCTAAAATATTTGCCGTTCGGAGTAGAGGGGGTGGTGAGGAGAGAAAAAGAGAACTACAGATTTGTGTTAGAAAAGCAGCCGTCTTACAGATTTCAAAAGCCTTGTCTTTTCTCATTACAAAAGAGAGCAAAAGTACACTGGGGAAAAACAGAGATATGCATTTCTCCTAGAAATTATAATAATTCAAACTGATCGTTTAAATGCTATGGGGTGCCAACCCACTAGCTCCCCTCCCCTCCCCCACCATCGCTCTTCTTTGTTAATGATCTGGTAGGAACAAGAAAGGAATTTGGGAAAAGATGGGGGAAGAGACAGAGGGAACAGCGGGTGTTTGCGTTGTAAATGGATGTTTGAAAAGTTCATCACACCCCCATCCCTGAGCATGTTAAAAAATTATCAAGCAACCGTCAAAAGTTTTGCCAAAATGATGCAGTGGAGTTAATGTAGCCTACTTTGAGGTCCTCTTTTGTAACCAAACACTTACAGCTAAGGACGGGCCAGATTGAATAACCGTTGCAGTTTTTTTAAATGGGTGGTGAGGAACAGAACGGGGGGGGGGGGATGAGGCAGAGGAAAATAAAGCCAGCCAGATGCAAACTCACCCCGCCGCTGCAGTCTTAAAAAAAAGAAAAGAAAAGAAAACAGAGTCCGCTAATTCTTTTTGCTCTCAAATTATGAATTAGACAAAAGACACTGTTGCAAAGAGGACAACAGCTCTCCATGGGGTCATTATGGAACTGTTCAAAGTTGGAAGAACCCCTTCCAACGCCCCCCCAAAACACACGCACCTCCACCCACGTTAATTTAGGGATTCCATACTTTTTTCTTTTTTTTTCTTTTTTCTTTTCTTTTGCACTAACAACTTCCATGCCTGCGCTTCCATCACCAGAGGCAACAGAAAGTACATGGCTGGATAGAAAAATACTTTCTCCACCACTCACACGACACACACGCTTTGAAAGTTTAACCATCTCCTCGACTTCTCCGCGGAAATCACAAAGCACGAAGCGAGACCCAGGCTGGCAGCAAATCTGGAAACAAGGATTTGGGGGCCAGTGTGCGCTTGCATGCGTGGGGGGGGGGTGAGGGAGGGGAGAGTTGCTTCATGGGAAAGTCAGAAGGGGGCCGCAGAAAAAGAACTTGATTTTCACAGGAAAAATGTAGCAGGAGGGAGGAGGAGGATGGAAGGAAGGCAGGACGTAAAGAAGGAAGAAAAGAAGCATGAGGCACAGTTATCTATACACGTGTATCATCATTTTCACACTGGACGTCCTTAACGGGTAACAGGAAAGCAGTACAGAAAATCTTGCAAATTGGCTATTTCCAAAATACAGGAGAGGCACGGAAATTTTCCACATTGCAGCAGCGTTCCAGCAAGACAAATGCAAGTGTACAGAAGATGTTTGGCCAGATACAAATTTCTGCTTACCAGCTGTAGTCTGTTTACATGTATTAAAGTTGGGTTGCTGGTGGGGATATTGAGAAGAGCAGACCATCTCCCCTCCCCAAAAGCACCTTCTCGGTGTAGCCTTGCCCTCTTTTTCCCTCTCTTCCTATGCCTTCAAGACAAAGTCCACCCTAACAGACGACCAGGATAGTGGGAGATGGTTTGGACTGGATCTTTAAACTTAAAAAAAAATGGAGGAGGGGGAAACGGAAAAAAGAGGAAAATCAGGGCTGGTCCAGGAACTGGCTTCCCTCCCCCGGCAACTTAAAACCAAGACTTTCACAGCATCCGTGTTTCAGAGGGACCCCCTCCGGCACCAACGGGCCCCACGGGGACTGGAAAAGCCAGACATAAGCACAGACTGCCCCCAGTAATAATCCAGAACTCACCAAGCAAGCGAGAATCCTTTCCATGAATGCACGCACGCCCCTGCCCCGCACCGCAGGAAAGTCACAAATGGGGGGAGCCAGCAAGAGGTTTTAAGCCTCGGGGGGCCCCCCCCCCCCAGCTGTCCTTAATCCAACTTTTTTGGGGAAAGTTTGGAAAGCAGAAGAGAAGAGAGAAATGGATACAGCCAAGCTCTGGGGAGTGGGAGGAGCTGGGGGGGCTGGAGAAGAGGATGGGGAGGAGCTGAGAGACGGAGAAAGGGGAAAGGGAGAGGGAAGCCAGAAAGAGCGAGAGGCAGGGAGGAAGAAGAGGAGAGAGAAGCGATTCCTAGTAAACTGTAGCCCTCCCCTAATCCGACAGCTGGCTGACATTTTGGACTACAGATCCCAGCATCCCCCAACCAGGATGCTGTGACTTGTAGCTGCACTTCAGGAGTGCTCTAGCCTCCCCCCACACCTTTATCCCAGGAAAAGTTTCCAATTTAAAGCAGATCAAATCAAGGTATGTTTCAAGTAGAAAAGCAGTGGCTGTCCTTGACTCAGATGCAAGGTAGAAGGTTCCAGTTATCTGAGACAGGTGAGGGTTCTACTCTGTGCATGCTCATGCAAACTCTTGTTATTTCTATATGCTTCAAGGGGATAAAAGACTCATGTTGTTGTTGTTGGTCGCGAAGTGGTGTCCGACCCATCCCAACCCCATGGACAACATTCCTCCAGGCCTTCCTGTCCTCCACCATCCCCGGGAGTCCACTTAAGCTCATGCCAACTGCTTCCGTGACTCCATCCAGCCACCTCATTCTCTGCCGCCCCCTCCTTCTTTTGTCATCTATTGTTCCCAGCATTAGGCTCTTCTCCAGGGAGTCCTTCCTTCTCATTAGGTGGCCAGAGTGTTTCAGTTTCACCTTCAGGGTCTGGCCTTTTAAAGAGCAGTCAGGGTTGATCTCCTCTAGGATCGCCTTGTGGTCCAGGGGACTCGCAGGAGTCTCCTCCAGCACCACGATTCAAAGACCTCAATTCTTCGGTGCTCAACCTTCCTTATGGTCCAGCTTTCACAGCCATACATTGCAACTGGGAAAACCATAGCCTTGACTACACACACTTGTGTTGGCAGGGTGATGTCTCCGCTTTTTACTATGCTGTCTAGACTTGCCATAGCTTTCCTCCCCAGGAGCGTCTTTTAATTTCTTGGCTGAAGTTCCCATCTGCGGTGATCTTGGAGCCCAGGAAAATAAAATCTGTCACTACCTCCATTTCTTCCCCATCTATTTGCTCGGAAGTGAGAGGACCAGATGCCACGATCTTAGTTTTCTTAATGTTAAACTTTCAAGCCAACTTTTGCACTCTCCTCCTTCACCTGCATCAAGAGGCTCTTTAACTCCTCTTCACTTTCTGCCATTAGAGTGGTATCATCTGCATACCTGAGGTTGTTGATATTTCTCCTGGCAATCTTAATTCCAAGTGGTGATTCATCCAGCTCTGCCTTTCTCATGATGTGCTCTGCATATAAGTTAAACAGGCAGGGCGACAGTATGCAGCCTTGCCAAACTCCTTCCCCAATTTTGGACCAATCAGTTGTTCCATTTCCTCTTCTCACTGTTGCTTCTTGACCCGCATATAGGTTTCTCAAGAAACAAATAAGATGGTCTGGTACTCCCGCCTCTTAAGAACTTGCCACAATTTGTTGTGATCCACACAATAAAAGGCTTTAGCATAGTCAGTGAAGCAGAAGTAGATGTTTTTCTGGAACTCCCTAGTTTCCTCCATGATCCAGCGTATGTTGGCAATTTGATCTCTAGTTCTTCTGCCTCTTTGAAGCCCTGCCTGTACTTCTCGGTCCACATACTGCTGGAACCTAGCTTGTAGGATTTGGAGCATAACTTTGCTAGCATGTGAAATGGTACAATGGTGTGGTCTGAACATTCTTTGGCATTGCCCTTCTTTGTGATCGGAATGTAAACTGACCTTTTCCAATCCTGTGGCCACTGCTGAGTTTTCCAAATTTGCTGGCATGTTGAGTGTAGCATTTTTACTGCATTGTCATTTAAGATTTTGAATAGCTCAGCTGGAATACTGTCTCCTCCACTAGCTTTGTTGTTGCTCAGACTTCCGAAGGCCCATTTGACTTCACATTCCAGGATGTCTGGCTCGAGGTCAGTGACCACCCCATCATGGTTATCGGGGACGTTAAGCTCTTTCTTGTATAGTTCTTCTGTGTAATCTTGCCACCTCTTCTTAATCTCTTCTGCCTCTGTTAGGTCCCTGCCATTCTGGTCCTTTATCATGCCCATGTTTGCATGAAATCTTCCCTTCATATCTCCGATTTTCTTGAAGAGATCTCTGGTCCTCCCTATTCTATTGTTTTCTTCTATTTCTTTGCACTGTTCATTTAAGAAGGCATTCTAATCTCTTCTAGCTATTCTCTGGAATTCTGCATTCAATTAGGTGTATCTTCCTCTTTCTCCCTTGCCTTTCACTTCCCTTCTTTCCTCAGCTGTTTGTAAAGCTTCCTCAGCTTCCTTTTGCTTTCTTGCATTTCTTTTTCTTTGAGATGGTTTTAGTTGCTACCTCTTGTACAATGTTGCAAACTTCTGTCCATAGTTCTTCAGGCACTCTGTCTATCAGATCTAATTCCTAAAATCTATTTGTCACCTCTACTGTATATTCATCAGGGATATGATTTAGGTCACACCAGAGTGACCTAGTTCTTTTCTCTACTTTCTTCAATTTAAGCCTAAATTTTGCAACCAGAAGCTCATGATCTGAGCCACAGTCAGCTCCTGGTCTAGTTTTTACTGACTGTATAGAGCATCTCCATCTTTGGCTGCAGAGCACATAGTCAATCTGATTTCTGTGTTGACCGTCTGGTGATGTCCATGTGTAGAGTCGTCTCTTGGGTTGTTGGAAAAGAGTGTTTGCTATGACCATCATATTCTCTTGACAAAATTCTACCAGCCTGTGCCCTGCTTCATTTTGTACTCCAAGGCCAAACTTGCCCAGTATTCTGGTTATCTTTTGGCTTCCCACTTTAGCATTCCAATCCCCCATGATGATAAGGACATCATTTATTGGTGTTAATTCTAGAAGGTGTTGTAGATCTTCATAGAAGTGGTCAACTTCAGCCTCTTCAGCACCAGTGGTTGGGGCATGGACTTGGACCTTGTGATGTAGAATGGTTTGCCCTGGATTCGAACTGAGATCATTCAGTCATTTTGGAGATTGTATCCCAGTAGTGCTTTTCCTACTCTTTTATTGATTATGAAGGCTACTCCATTTCTTCAGAGGGATTCTTGCCCGCAGTAGTATACCCGATGGTCATCTGAATTAAATTCACCCATTCCTGTCCATCTAGTTCACTGATTCCCAAGATGTCGATGTTCAGTCTTGTCATCTCTTGTTTGACCACATCCAGCTTGCCTTGATTCATGGATCTTACATTCCAGGCTCCTATGGAGTACAGATCTTTGCAGCATCGGACTCTCCTTCCACAACCAGATACATCCGCAACTGAGTGTCCTTTCGGCTTTGGCCCAGTCGCTTCACTCTTTCTGGCGCTACTAGTACTAGCCCTCTGCTCTTCCCCAGTAGCATATTGAACACCTTCCGACCTGAGGGGCTCATCTTCCAGCGTTGTATCGTTTTGCCTCTTGGTACTGTCCGTGGGGTTTTCATGGCAAGGGTACTGGAGCGGGTTGCCATTTCCTTCTCCAGTGGATCACGTTTTGTCAGAGATCCCTGCTATGACCTGTCCGTCTTGGGTGGCCCTGCACGGCAGAGCTCATAGCTTCATTGCGCTACGCAAGCCCCTTCACCACGACAAGGCAGTGATCCACGATGGAGAAAAGACTCATACAAGAGGCCAAATTTGTTGTTGCTTCTGCTTTCAGTTAATAACCTTCAATTGTCCGGTTTGCAGGGGGTTAGTGTGATGACTGAACCTGGGCATTGGGAGGTGTTTAGAGATTAAACAGCCCACAGTTAACCTGGGATTTGTCGTTGGGCGTCCTGTGCATTGCACCACTTCTAAACAGCTCAATAGGCCACTTTCTATGGTGTAGTGGTCAAGAAAGCTGGGCTGAGTCTTGGCAGATCTGGATTCAAGTCCCCACTTGACCACTGGGTGCCTGTGGGCCCATCACAGACTCTCAGCCTAACCTACCTCACAGGGTTGTTATGAGGACAAGCTGCCTTGAGTTCCTTGAATGAGAAAAAGGGGCAAGACAGGAATGCAGTGTGATAAGCAGCACACCCAGAAGAATAAGCAGCCCAGAATGGCTCCATGAGGTCACTCCAAAGGCTACATTTGTGTCATCCAAACCCAGCAAGGATGGGTTGTGTGTGGTCTAAATGGTGCTCATATAAGCCATGGCTTGATGTACTGCAACATAAGAGTTGTGGAAACATCACACACCGTACCCTGCCAGATTTAGATGGCAGAACAGTCCTATTCCAAAGCTACCCTGCAAGAGCTTTAAATAAGCCACAATTGGCAGTGGTGATTGTGCAAACCAGGTTAGAGTGTCCAGGTTGAATAACCCAGGAATTGACATTACTTGGGGAGTGGTCTTCTGCCTCTTGGTCTCTCAGCCTACACTACCTCACAGGGCAGTTCAGCAGATACAATGGGCTGAGTTATAAAAAGGGGTGCAGACAGAAAAAGTGCAAAAATAATAATTTGGAGAAGATGCTGGGCACACGAGGCAACACAGAACATAGTGCTTGGCTTAATAAACAGTGCACGTTTCTTTCCATTATCACAGGGACTAGGACTTTCAAGATGCTTCTGTTCCAAAAGTACTTATTTTATTTTTTATTTTGTTAAAACATTTCTATGCCGCCCCATTCACCGAAGCCTCGGGGCGGCTCACAACATAAATCTTCAAAAAAGGAAAAAAGTCAGAAAGAGAGATGCGTACTGAGGAAGCGTGGGGCGAATCCAAAAGCCAGCTTTAAAAAATATATATTTTTGTCCCCTGTAGCCTTGGAAAAAAAGGAGGCAGGTGCTCACCTGGCCACCTAACCCACTGCAGAGGGCTGTAGCTTGCAGAAACACAGAATTCCTCAGCCACTTTGAGATGTGCCCCGTGAAGGCTTTTCTGTGCAT